ACTCCAATTTAAAGAATCTTAAAAATGTCTTCTCCAAAGCAAACACATTTAATATATGACACCTTGCTTTTAGGATGGCAATGTTTGCCATTTTGAAAGTACTCCAGACAAACAAAATATCTGAACTCTGAACCAATCTTTTTAGGAATAATAAATACTAACACTTAACTCCTTTTTATATATGTATGAAAAAGCAAGGTGATGGCTGCCAGTGACTAGCACAGACAGGGTGCTGGAACCTGAAGACAGATGTGTGGTGTCAGCAAAAGTTAAGGAGCTGACCACCTGCAGACTTTCAAGCAAATGCACACAAATCGCTCAAATCGCCCTTATTTATATAATAACAATTCTGCTTTTCTGAGCAGTGACATCATTGGTTATTTTACTTAAAGAAATCACAATATCAGCGCTGCATAAGCCCCCTCAGTACAAAAAGGCCCCAATAGTTTCCCTTCCTCCTTCCCCACTTCTGCTGAGTCAATCACCCCACAACATCATTTTACACTACAGAGGACAGTTTCAGCCAGCCAAAAATAAATGTCTAGCCAGGCATGTCCTGTGGACATCCAGTGTGGTTACACAGTTATGCAAGGTGAGACAGATTAACCATTTGTGAACATTAAGTCCATTCATCAAATAGCGCCCCTCTGTCATAATATGTTTTTAATTGCAGGCAGAGACATGCTCTTTGTACCAAGCAACCTTTCCTTATACGCGCCTATGAATTTATGATATCATCCTTCCAACAACCATTTTTTAAGTCTCTATTGATCAGACACAGCTTCCCCATTTTTTAAGTCTCTGCTGATCAGGCACAGCTTCCTCAGAACAGTTTTGCAAGCAGGACCCATTGCTATCTACAACTGCCACGGTGTACTCAGTGTGATTGTAGCTGTTTCCCGAGGGACATGATTACATGTCCCCAAATACCCAGGATTAATGGTCCTTTCTGGAGGCTCAATAGAAGCAGAGAAGGAGAGGAGGGTTTTACCCCTTGAAAGAGTATTGAGAGAAACAGAATCATCCATGGGGCTTTCTGCCTGCATGATCCAGGCCTTGCCCATGACTGACCAAGAGAAACTAAATATTACTATGAACATAAACAGCCAAGCCAAGGCAAGAAGATATCTTTTTATTGGAGAAAAAGATATAAGCAGAATTAAATGAAGAGATTAAATTGAATCCAGTTAATATTACTCAGCAATGAAAAATAAGGAAATCATGAAATTTGCAGGTAAATGGTGGGACCTGGAAAGGATCATCCTGAGTGAGCTGTCCCAGAAGCAGAAAGACACACACGGTATATACTCACTCATATAGACATGTAATATAGGATAAACCTACTAAAATCTGTACATCTAAAGAAACTAATCAAAAGAGAGGACCCTGACTAAAACTTCAATCCCCATCCCGAAAGGCAAAGAGGAAGGACATCAGAAGAAGAAGAAAACAGGAAAGAAGCTAGAAACCCGTCATGGAGGGCCTCCGAAAGGCTCTGCCCTGCAGACTATCAAAGCAGACACTGAGACTTATGGCCAACTGTTGGGCAAAGTGCAGGGAATCTTATGTAAGATGTGGGAAACAGTAAGATCTGGAGAGGACAGGAACCCCACAAGGAGAGCAACAGAGCCAGAAATTTGAACACAAGGGTCTTTCCAGAGACTCATACTCCAATCAAGTACCATGCATGGAGATAACCTAGAACCCCTGCACAAATGTAGCCCATGGCAGTTTAGTGTCCAAGTGGGTTACATAGTAATGGGAAGAGGGACTGCCTCTGACACTATCTGATTGGCCTGCTCTTTGATCACCTCCCCCTAAGGGGGGAGCAGACTTATCAGGCCACAGAAGATGACAATGCAGCCACTCCTGATGAGATCTGATAGACTAAGATCAGAAGGAAGAGGAGGAGAACCTCCCCTATCAGTGGACCTGGGGAGGGGCATGTGTGAAGAAGGGGGTGGGAGGGTGGAATCAGGAGGGGAGGAGGGAGGGGCTTATGGGGGGATACAAAGTGAATAAAGTGTAATTAATAAAAAAAGAAATAAAAGTAAGAAAAATTTAATCCAATTTTAAGCACTAAGCTGATAATTTCAGTTTAAATACACTATATACATTTAACTCAGACATTTTTAAGATATTGAATATTTTCTGCAAGTGAGAAATGGCTTCCTTGGATATTGTTTTTCAGTCTTGCTTAGTCAAATCATGAAGTATTTCTAAGTAGGCATCCATGTTGAGGCAAATCATGAGCTGGCAGTGCAAATGCTATTAAATGGTTAATAAAACAGGAGCGCTCACTTTACATACAGAATTTGATACAGAAAAACAACAAATACCACAAATAGAATAGGTGCTGGGTGTGGAGACATGACAGCAATTGGTTAGGAAAAGGATTTATTTTCATCTGAGGAATTGCCTGTGAAATGACAACTGCAAAATATCACATCTTCCTGTTGGAAAGCATAGAGGACGGTGTTAACGAGTTGCCCAGATTTATCTAGCAAGTTTACTACCTACAAGTAGAAACATATTTGCAGAATCAGGAGAGCCTCATGGCTCGCCATCCCACTGATGTAAGTGGCTAAGGAATAGACATTCTAGAGTCAAGTCTAGAGGGATAAAGTTAGCATGGATGCAATTATAACAAAGCATTGCTACAGAGTGAAGTGAGATCACAAAAACCTACAGCTGTCATACAAATCTTGATTGCTAAAAGAGGAGGCCAGACAGAAGGCAAAGACTGGTCATAAACAACTCAACAAGGTAGTTCTAATTGTTAAGAAAGAACAGATTTTAGCAGATTTTATTTGACTCATTTCTGCTCACAAGAGAAATCCTAGGACCAGGAACACACAGCTTTTATTTAGATAAGGAACCCTCTGGGTCAAGCCCAAGTCCAGGTTGAAGATATAGTGTTTGATTAACTTTTAATACATAAAATGTGTTAGCACATGGAATCTGTCGTGATTAGAGCATGAACTCCCTGTTCTCCACAACAATAGAGATAGTTTGAGAAAATCTGTGTGCCACACAAAAGCTTACTGTAGGACTCACATGAAGTCACTTTGAATCATCTTTCTTTCTTTGTTCCTGAAATATTCATTGTTGTTTTTGCTATGTACACATTTTTTTTAACTGCATAAACTAGGAAATACCTCATAAAGGTCGTTTTCTGCATCCCATTCTTCAAGGCTTTTGAAAACACATGTAAATCAATGATCCCAAGGCGTGATAGTAGTTTGTGCAACAGCAGAGTAAGTACCCTCATGTTCTAAGAAAATTTGGTCAATCACCATCTCTAATATTAAATGATTCTTTTTATGCCATGTTTTTAATATTTCATACTTTACTGAGTTTTTGTGCTCTGAAGTAGGAATACAATTCTACTGCAGAGGTAAAGAAACTTATTTTCTTAGCACTTAAGCAACATGCCAAGGACCTTACAAAATACAGAAAACAGAACTTAAGTGAGGCCACAAATTAACAGTGGAAAGGAATATGGAACAGCTTACGTGAAATTGGGGGTATAGCTCAGTTGTAGAGTACTTGACAAGCACATGTGCTTGGACCTAAGTTTTAATTTCAGTCAGAAGGCAAAGACAGAGACACAAAGATAGATAGATAGATAGATAGATAGATAGATAGATAGATAGATAGATACATTCATACATACATACATACATACACACATAGATTAGATGGATAAGATGAGATAAGATAAGATGGGATAAGATAAGATAGGATGAGATAAGATAAGATAGATAAATAGAGAGCTGATGATTGGGTTGAAGATACCAGAAAGTTTTATGTACAATGGTCAAATCAATAGATGTGAAGATTAGATGGGCACTGGAATGGCACGATGAGTTAAAGTAATGCACACAATTCATTTATTGATAAATTTCTGTGTTAAATGGCATTTATTCTTTGCGATGTTGTAAGTACCAAAGGAAGCACTATGTCTGGCTAACTTAGACATATGTCTTGCCTTTTCTATTAACGCGTATAAGCATACTTCAACAAACCACTCAAGAGGTTGAGAGAGCAGATGGCAGTTAAGGAGGACTTCATCCATCATACAGCTTCAATAGGGACTACTTCCAAAACATGTGATTTAAGAAAATAAAAGTTACATATGAAAGAAACGTAAATAAAATCATCAAATAATAATGGTCATCTCTTTTCACCAAATGAAGCTTTCAGTATCTGGATTGGGTCATGTCTAATAGAATTGTTGGTCAAAAGTGTCCCATGGGAATCCTCAAACCACCACACTGTTTTCAAGGCTATAGATTGCTCTCCACAAACTGACGTCAAGACAATACCTATAGGGCTTATTGAGGCTCGAGAAAGAGAGCTCTCACTCCTAGTTCTACTGACATTGATACAGAAATATGATCTGCAAGCTACTAAAGGATAAATAGATTCAGGACTGAGTAGATGACTCGGCTGGTAAAATACTTGACATAGCTGGTTAAGGACCTGAGTTCTATGCCCAGAAGTGAGTAAAATAACAGGGCATGGTGATGCACGCTGGGAGTCCCAGAGCTGAGGGAGCGGAGAAATGCTAAGACACATGGAGCACAGGGGCTCTCTGACCCATGACCCAGCCTGTTCAGTAAACTCCAGCCCACTGGAAGACCCTGCCTCCTCTGGAACAACAGCTGAGGTTGTCCTCTGTCCTGCTACATATACCTATTTGAAAATGCGTGTACACATGCACACATAGGCACACATACATACAAACATTCACATGCTCTCATATGAGCACACACACATAAACAGAAGAAGAAACAATCACAGTGAAAACATTCCAAACATTAAGATTAATTTGCCTTTATCTATATTACCCAAGTTTTTGCTTGACAGAACATAATCAAATTCATTCGTCCCTGTAGCTCTCTTTAAAGGTAAAATCTGCACAGATTCTGAATGTTTCGGAAGAGTAGTGGGCTAACGCCAATATAGCTTATCTCTTTGTTTCAGGTCAATACAAGATGTGGCTGCTGTTTGTAACAAGTGTGATAGCTACATTTGGAGGCGCACACGGCCTGTTTGGAAAACCGGCTCCTAAAAACCCTGAGGCAAACATGAATATTGTGAGTTAAAGAGGGATAGTACTATGATAAGAGTCATGATGGCTCTAACTCTTTAATGAGCAGTTAAAACTCATTAGAAATATCTGTTATATGCATTTTATAATGATTAAAACTTAAAAGTTTAATTTTATTTTTCTCCCTCAGAGTCAGATGATAACTTACTGGGGATATCCAAGTGAAGAGTATGAAGTTATTACTGAAGATGGCTACGTTTTGGGGGTCTACAGAATTCCTTATGGGAGGAAAATTTCAGAGAATATAGGTAGAAATTCCTTCCGTTCCTGCACTACCTTTTTCCTCTTCTGTTTGCACTCCCTCCCTTTCCTTCCCCCATCTCGCACCCCACCTTTCACGCTTTTCTTTTTTCCTTTCATTTCTCTCTAAGAATGAAATAAGTCCAGATCACTCTGGAAATGCAACACAAACTTGTATTTCCAATCTTCAACAGATGGCAATCAGATGAATGAGACATTGATAAGAATATGAAAGTGATCATGAGAGGAATAGGAAAGCGTTTTTGATAAAATGCTGTCCTGCTGTCATAGACAAACTAGTACAGTTCTCCAATGCAGCCAAAGGGATCAGAGACAGTTCACACTGAATAGTAACTGAATCCCAGGGAATGAAAGTTAGCCAGGTTGTTTTTAGAGGGGAAGACTGGGAGGCAGCTAAATATCTACTTCTTAAATAAAGGTCATTTTATTTTGCTAATATTGTTAAATTTTCATGTTTTTTCTCATAACAGTAAAGTTGTGAAACATAACTTTATTACACTTAATCTACATCTATACTGTGCTTACTTTCCTTAGATATCTTTTTAATATCTCTATTTACACATAACTGGCATATAATAGAGTAAGCACATTTAGCATGTACAATATGGGATGTGGTCAGTGGTATATTTGCTAGCATATGCAAGGTCCCGTGTTGGTAAATACAAATGCAATGAATAAAAATAAAATATATATGCCAAAGTGATTGCTCAGTGGTTAAGAGCTCTAGCTGTTCTTGCATAGCTCTTGGGTTCAATCTTCAGTACCCACATGTTGGCTGCTCACAGCTGTCTATAATTTCAGTTCCAGAAGATGCCCTCTTCTGGCCTCTGAAGGCTCCTGCATACATGAGGCTCACATAAACTCATACAGGTTTACACAAATACACAAACACTTATAAATTGAATCTTTAAAAACACATAAAGTGTACAATTTGATCAATTTTGACATGAGACAATTAAAAAAAGATAATTAAGGTGTCAAATACAACATAAACAAAATGTCAGACCACATGTCTACCTACTAAAAGGAATAAGTTTATAACGTTTTGAATGATCTTCCCTAGGCAAAAGACCTGTGGTGTTTTTGCAGCATGGTGCGATTGCATCAGCCACAAACTGGATTGAAAATCTGCCAAACAACAGCCTGGCCTTCATTCTGGCAGATGCTGGCTATGATGTGTGGCTGGGGAATAGCCGAGGAAATGCATGGTCCAAGAAAAATTTATATTTTTCACCAGGCTCAGCTGAATTCTGGCATTTCGGGTAAAGAAAGACAATAATTCAAAATGGACATATATTTGGGCTCTAGAGGCATGCTCATTCTCGTTTCCCCATCACAGTCAACTACACTCCAGGTGTAGTTGGCGAAGGAAGCCTTATCATTTTAATCTTTTATTTGAATCTTGTATACAGCTCACTCTAAGGCTAGTTTTCCCTTTAAGCTTGCTGTTATCTTCCTACCCAAGACAGGGAGATGTACAAAAGTAAAATGAACAACACAGTCAAAGTGAAGATGTAAGGCAAATCACTGATTCTAGAAAGTTCCAAAGGGAGAAGCCAATAGACTAGGAAGGTGTCAGAAGTGGGGCAAATGGGAACAACAGCCTCCATCAACATCAAAATCCCAAAGTTTGGGACGCTATCAAGGGAACCCACATCCACGTGTACCTGCTGTAATGAGAAAGAGGTAGAGAGAGACACGAAAGAACACTAGTCATGTTGACAAGAACCAGTTCTTGAAGCTGGGTATTGAGGTTCATTCTGTGCACAATGAGAAGCCTGCTATTCAGTATAAGAGTTCTCATCTGTGTACCATTCTGGCTGATTTGTGAAGAATGTCCTAAAGAGATGGGACTCATATTAAGTGAAATAAGAATGTAGAATATAAGTGCTTATTAAATATGTTATTCCATTTCACGAATGAAGATAATTTCTACCCATAGATACCTATCTTGTTTAGATTAAATTGCAGCCATTATTCATTGTTTGAAAATGCTTACTATCAACTACTCCAAAGGCACCTGGTACTCACTATATATATATATATATATATATATATATATATATATATATATATATGTATCACTATATATACATATATATACATATATATAATAGCATCTAAAACTGTTATATATAATGTATATTATATGGTATAATAGTTTCTAAAACTATATAGCTTGATTTACTTTTTCTTACAGCTTTGATGAGATGGCTAAATATGACCTTCCAGCCACAATAGACTTCATTGTGCAAAAAACCAGACAAAAGAAGATTCACTATGTCGGTCATTCCCAGGGCACCACTATTGGTAAGTAAAAAGCCCAAGACTGAGTACAGTTTCCACACCCCTGTCCAGTAGCATGGCCACTGCTGTTCAAATTTATAAAATTCCATGTTCGTGGCGATCCAGTGTTATAAGGACAGTCAATCCTCCTACTCGAGAGATGGAGAAATCAAACAATGGGATAAATAACTCAAACAAGTGTCATTGTCTTTATCAGTAGCTCAATAGAGTGGTTTGGGTACCAGCTCAGGACACCTGAATCTCAAGGCAGCATCTTCCAGCTTCCAGCTGAATTCGTTCTCTTTATTCTACCAATTTTTTTTTTTCATAGAACCCAGATCATTTGCCCAAATAATATACCAAAGAAGATAAATTAATATCCCTAACTTTATATTACTTAGATTGGGGAAAAAAGGTAGAAAAGTAACAGATGAAAAGCAATGTGGAATTCACCAAAGCATGGTAATGCTATGGAAAACGTACCTCATGGAGGATATGAAGGGATTTCACGGGGCTCTCAAAGCCATTTTCAACAGAGAAAACCGAAAAATGACCTCGGACTAAAGATGTAGAGGAGCTGTATGCATTCGTGGAAGCCTGATGTTCCAGGGAGGGGGTACAGCAAGTGTAAAGAATGGAACGCTTGAGAACATGTTCAGGGAACGAGAGGGAGGCTTTTCATCACGGGGCTGGGCCAGGGTAAGAACCAGTGAGAGAGAACCAGTGAAAAAACATTGTGGCAGCTGGAAAGGACAGAGTATTTGGGGTTCCTCGGATAGTGTAAGGATATCAGCTTCCAATATAACTAAGAAGAAAATCACACAGGAATTTTAAAAGAGTTGCATGATCCGTTTTATGATCTTTCTAATTGTCTAAGGGCACCAATGGCAGAAACTTAGAAGCAACTAGAGGACCCATATGGTAGCTCATGCCAGAGATTATGGTGAGCTGGATTACTGGGAGTGAGCAGAGCTATGGGAATAATGATGCTCAATGAAATAGCATGTGTGTACATACATATATACATATATGTGTTTGTGCATGATTGTGTGTGTGTGCAAATGAGATAAAGCCAACAAACTTTACTAAATTGTTGAATATAGGGCATGCAAAGCAAAAATAGGAATAAAGATGATACCGGAGTTTGTGGCTTGGGATCCTGAAATAGTAAAGATTTCATTACCCAAAGTGAGGAAGGAAGACTATGAGAAGAGATGATATATAAGGACATTAGTTGCTCAGTGTGAGGACACTTGAGTCATCTATTGAAGATTCAGATAAAGATGTCAGGGAGTCAGAAATAAACAATCTGAAGTTCAAGGAAGAATACTAGACTGAAAATATTCAACAGGAGGCCCAGTCAATGAGACTGAGTTTAATATCCCAAGGAGTCAATTCAGACAGCCAAGAGAGGAGGTCTTAGGAAAAGTCTGACTTTTATTTAGAAGATGAGAGTTATTTAATACAAGAAACAAATTCAGAAGTATTAACAATCATGTGCAAGGGCAGCCAGGATTCTGGAATACAAACGGAGGAAGTGCTTACTAGTTATCCAAAAGCCAGGTGAAATGTAGTCTGAGGGGTTATTTTTAAAATTGCTTGCAAAGAAGTCATAGGCATCTTTACTGTTGCTGTTGGTTCTGGCTGTCCTGTAGAACTCAGGCTGGCTACAGACTCCTAGTCCTTTTGACTCAGCCTCCAGAGTACTGAGATTACTGGCATTAGCCAGTAACTGTTCTTGGCTAGAGGGGACTCTCATAAAATTAATGTTCGGTGACAATCTTTAATATAACATAATGTTCTGTCTGTAATCTGAGGTTAAAAAAATTACTGCATTGAGACGCAATGCAATTGATTCCTTAGAACGTATTGAGGTGAGTAAAACCGAATGCCTTTACTCTGCATGACTTCATTCTGCTTCTATATTGAGTTACTTGAAGATTGAACATAGCAACTCTTTTTGTTAGTCGGTGGATATTTTAAAATGCTATCACCGTGTTTACACATATCTCAATAAACTAATGTGTCAGTTTCACAGCTTGCCCCAGATGGCATCTTTATCAACACCAAGGAAATATTTACACTTGTAGAAACAGAAAAGTATGCACATGCACACACATCTTTCATTGATGGTCTGTTCTATTTCAGGTTTTATTGCCTTTTCTACCAATCCTACACTGGCTGAAAAAATCAAGATGTTTTATGCATTAGCTCCAGTTGCTACTGTGATATATTTGCCAATTCCTCTCAAAGCACTTACAGTTATTCCTGAACCTATTGTCAAGGTATGTGATTACATTTAAGGTACACAATTGCCATTGGATTTCAGAGTGATCAAAGGAAACAAAGGTACTTTAGGAATGAAGATATTCATATCCTCAAAGTAAATTGTACATCTTTTATGTTATCTCTCTCACAGCATTAGAATGCGTGGACATGCTCTTGTCTCTGAGGTCCCCATTTTCTCCCTTGTTTTTGATTAGTTTCCAGTGGGTTGTCAATGCCAGTAAGTCTTTTGCTTTTTCAGGGATGTTGCACTGGCCAAGCACTATACACATCTGTGTCAAGGTAACGGTTCCACTCTTGCAACTGGGAATGGAGTGTGAAAAGCAGAGAAAAATAATCAAATAAGAATCCCAAATTGGGCCAGAAGTATAGGGAAGATTTCTGTGAAAACTCCCCAACCCTGTGAACTGCCAGAAGAAAAACAAAAGAGAGAGAGGGAAAAGAAAAGAAAAAAGAAAGGAAAAAGAAAGGAAACAGTCCAGACTGTTTCCAGACAGGAAGTTATTTAAGAGATTCCTTAAAATCTGTGATAAAGATGCTGAAGTGTAGCTCTTCACAGTTGATGACTCTTGGCAGGATCGGGGTGTGAGGTAGTAAGGACTCAGTTTTCTTTAAGGGCCTGGCTGCTGGGAATTTGCCTATGTTCCAATGAGTATATGGGCAACACAAATTAGGCTTGGGGAAGGGTGATTGTTTGTTTGTTTTTTATTGCCTTTTGATATTTTTTTTTTTGGAAGGGGGTACAAGGGTGGGAGGGTGGATCTGGGAGGAATGGGAAATAAGTGTGATCTGGGTGCATTATATAAAACTCCAAATAATTAACAAGAATATTATGGTTAGGGGGGAAAAGAAACTTGGGAGAGAAGGAAAAAGGAAAAAAAGAATATGGAAATGGAGGGAAAAATAAAGAAAGCAAAGAAATCAATAAAGGAGCACAGTAAATACTGTGCAACCTCCAATTAAAAGCTCTTGGGATGCCTAAGAGCTCTTGTTCTAAGAAATGAAATTTCATGGGTCAGTAGTGTAGATTTCAATAGACCCTAAATATTCTGTGCCTTATTGAACAGAAACACATGGGAATGAATTAATAGCATTTACTTATTTAGATATTTGATGACCTATTTCTACTGTACTCAAGCCAACCCACCCATGTAGACATGCCTACACATTTGCAGAATTTCCTTTAGAAGAACGGTTTAGCCTGGGGCTCTAAGCTCAGTAGTCATGTCTAAAGCCAAAGATATTACCTACAGTCAAACGTATCTACAAACCTTTTATGTAAAACCTAAAGCGTTAAGATAGACTGCCGCCATTTCACACTGCACCAAACTCCTCATCTCCCACTTCTGCTCAGATTTTCAGATAGCAAGCACAGAGGAATTGAAAGGAGAAGGCATTTAGACATTAAGTCACAGGCATGGATCAGAATTCTAGATATAATCAGTACTGATTAGCCCAAAACACTGCTATTTCCTTGCTGTGTTTCCTTGGGTAGAGAATTAAAAAATCAAAACGTCTCAATACTCAACAAAAGTGAGAGAAATATCTTTTTTTAATTAAATTTTTATTTTTTAATATTAGTTACAGGTTATTAACTTTGTATCCCAGCTGTATCTCCCGCTGCTCCCTCATTCCCTTCTAGTCCCTCCCTCCCTCTCTCCTCTTCTCCTTACCCCTTTTCAAGTCCACTGATACAAGAGGACCTCCTCCCCTTTCATCTGACCCTAGCTTATCAGGTATCTTCAAGCCTGGCTGCAAAGTCCTCCTCTGTGGCCTAGCAGGGCTGTTCCTCCCTCAGATGGGGAAGGGGAATCAAAGAACCAGCCATTGTGGGGTACAGAGCTAAACAGAGAATTCTCTGCAGAGAAATATAGAATGGCAGAGAAACACTTAAGAGATGCTCAACGTCCTTAGCCATCAGAGAGATGCAAACCAAAACAACCCTGAGATTTCACCTTACACCCATCAGAATAAAAATTCAAGTGACAACACATGCTGGAGAGGTTGTGGAGAAAGGGGAACCCTCCTCCACTGCTGGGGAATGTAAACTTGTACAACCACTTTGGAAATCAATTTGGCACTTTCTCAGACAATTAGGAATAGCGCTTCCTCAAGATACAGCTACACCACTCCTAGGCATATATCCAAAAGATGCTCAAGTACACACTAAGGACATTTGCTCAACCATGTTTGTAGCAGCTTTATTTGTAATAGCCAGAAGCTGGAAACAACCCAGATGTCTATCAACAGAGGAATGGATACAGAAATTTTGGTACTTTTACACAATGGAATACTACTCAGCAATTCAAAACAAGGAAATCATGATATTTTCAGGCAAATGATGGGATCTAGAAAAGATCATCTTGAGTGAGGTATCCCAGAAGGAGAAAGAAATATATTTTTCTAATTAAATTTTTATTTTTATATTAATTACAGTTTATTCACTTTGTATCACAGCCTTAGCCCCCTTCCTAACTCCCTCCCAATCCCACCCTCCCTCCATCATCTCCTCCCAAGTCCACTGAGAAGGGAGATCCTCCTCCCCTTCCATCTGACCCTAGCTTATCAGGACTGGTTGCATTGTCTACCTCTGTGGCCTGGCAAGGCTGCTCCCTGATTGGGAAGGGGGGGAGTGATCAAAGAGCTAGCCACTGAGTTCATGTCAGAGACAATCACTGTTCCTCTGACTAGGGTACTTACTTGGAGACTGAGCTGCCATGGGTTACATCTGATCAGGAGTTCTAGGTTATATCCATGAATGGTCCTTAGTTGGAATATCAGCCTCAGAAAAGACCCCTGTACCCAGATTTTTTGGTTCTGTTGTACTCCTTGTGGAGTTCCTGTCCTCTCCAGGTCTTACTATCTTCCCCCTCTTTCCTAAGATTCCCTGCAATCTGCCCAAAGTTGGGTTATGAGTCTTAGCATCTGCTTTGATACCCTGCTGGGTGGAGCCTTTCAGAGGCCCTCTGTGGTAGGGTCCTGTCCTGTTTCCTATTTTCTCCTTCTTCCAATGTCCATCCCATTTGTCTTTCTGAATGAGGAATGATCATCTTACCCAGGATCCTCCTTCTTGCTTACCTTTTTTAGGTGTACAGACTTTGGTATGTTTATCCTATATTATATGTCTAGTATCCACTTAGAAGTGTGTATATACCATGTGTGTTTTTCTGCTTCTGGGATACCTCACTCAAGATGATCTTTTCTAGATCCCATCATTTGCCTGAAAATATCATGATTTCCTTGTTTTTGATTGCTGCGTAGTAGTATTCCATTGTGTAAATGTACCACAATTCCTGTATCCATTCCTCCTTTGATGGACATCTGGGTTGTTTCCAGGTTCTGGCTATTACGAATAAAGCTGCTACAAACATGGTTGAGCAAATGTCCTTGGTGTGTACTTGAGCATATTGTGGATACATGCCTAGGAGTGGTATAGCTGAATCTTGAGGAAGTGCTATTCCTAATTGTCTGAGAAAGCGCCAGATTGATTTCCAAAGTGGTTGTACAAATTTACATTCCTACCAGCAATGGAAGAGGGTTCCCCTTTCTCCACCTCCTCTCCAGCATGTGTTGTCACTTGAGTTATTCATCTTAGCCATTCTGATGGCTATAAGGTGAAATCTCAGGGTTGTTTTGATTTGCATTTCCCTGATGACTAAGGACTTTGTGCATTTCTTTAAGTGTTTCTCTGCCATTCAATATTCCTCTACAGAGAATTCTCTGTTTAGCTCTGTACCCCCTTTTTTAACTGGATTATTTGATTTGTTGTTTTTTAACTTCTTTAGTTCTTTATATATTCTAGATATTAGACCTCTGTCAGATATAGGGTTGGTGAACATCCTTTCCCATCTGCAGGCTGTCGTTTTGTTCTGACAACAGTGTCCTTTGCTTTACAGAAGTGTTTCAGTTTCATGAAGTCCCATTTACTGATTGTTGGTCTTAGAGCCTGTGCTGTTGGTGTTCTGTTCAGGAAGTTGTCCCCTGTGCCAATGAGTTCTAGGCTCTTCCCCACTTTTTCTTCCAACCTATTTAGTGTGTCTGGTTTTATGTTGAGGTATTTGATCCACTTGGACTTTCATTTTGTACAGGGTGATAAATATGGATCTATTTGCATTTTCTACATGTAGACATCCAGTTTTCCTACAGATATTCCCCTGAGTCCCAATTTCCTCTCCCAGATCTCATAATTTATTACACAAATCACACATGTTGGTACATAATCATGACAGTCTGCCATGTTATTTAATGTTTTGGAAGTCTCTTGGCCAACTATGATCAACAGCTTCAACAACTCAAAAGAGAGTTTCTCATGTCTGGTGTTGGGTTATTGTTATGGTCTTTGGCTCTTGGCAGAGTGTTACCAATCCAGATGAGAAATTTTCATTTAAACTATATGTGAATATTTATGAAAAAACATGTATTATAGGGTGCTTTAGGTAATAGTTAATAATAAAACTCCTATGACTTTTACTGTCATTTTACCCTCCTCCCTTTTATTTCTGTAATTATCTCCACCATCACCCTTATTTAGAGCCCCTCCTTTATCTCATTGTCCCAATCAAATCACTTGTACCCTCAAATTCCCCTCTCTATTGTTCCCCAACTCTCCTTCCCTGGCAATGGTTACTTTTTGACTCCCTGGTTTTGTAGTTACTCCAGGATATATACTCACATATCTAAATATCTGCAGCAAGGAGCCTCAAAGAGAGAGAACACGGTACCTTTGTTTTTCTGTGTCCAGATTACCTTACCCAGTGGTCTATTCTATATCTATACATTTACCTGGAAAGTTCATAATTTCATTTCTCTTTACAGTTGAATAGTATTCCTAGTGTATATGTTATGCATTTTCATCATCTGTTTGTTTGTTTGTTGGAGGACATTCAGATTGCTTTCAGTTTCTAACACTGTGAATGGAATGGCAATGAACACGCCTGAGCACGTATTTGTGGAGTATGATATGAGTCCTTTGGACTTTTAAAGTGATATAACTGAGTAGATTTATTTTTAGCTTATTGATAATTCTCCACACTGATTTCCTGTGTGGCTGCACAAGTTTGTGTTCCTTCAGACAGTGTGTGAGGGGCTCTCCTTTTCCTTTCCCTCTCCAAAGCAATTATTGTGCACTGTTTTGTTGATCTTTGCCATTCTGCCTGGAGTAAAATGAAGTCTCAGATTGTTTTGACTTGCATTTCCCTGATTGCTAGAGACAATAAACATTTCTAAGCTAGTGTTTTTATGTTTGCTTAGTCAGTTTCTAGTTTTGTTTTGTTTTGTTGTTTGTTCGTTTCTTTCTTTTATGAAAATTCTTTGTTCAGGTTACAGACCATTTTTTGAATGGATTGTTTGTTTGTTGGCTTTCTGCTTTTAAGCAACATATATATTATAGATATCAATCCTCTTCAGAGATAAAGCTAGCAAAGATTGTTTCCCATTCTTTGGGATTCTGCTTTGCAAAGTTTTATGAGGTTCCATTTATAAAATGTTGGCCTCAGTTCTTGGGCAAGAGAGTCCCATTCAGAAGGTCCTTTAATATACCTATATCATATATGGTACTCCCTATGCTTTCTTCCAGAAGTTTCAGTGTTTTAGGCTCCACACTTAGGTCTTTGATCCATTTGGAGTTGGGTTTTTGTACATGGTGATAGATAAGGTTTTAAAGATAGGAAATTTCTAAAACAACTTATAGAAGTAAAGAAAAGTACAAGCATAATCTGTATGAGTGGCTTCAGCAATTAAGTAGACTTTCTGCAGCTCGGCCACTGCCGTATTCTAATGATGCCCCCCCCCTTTTTTTCAGATTATACTTGGTAACAAAATGTTCCCACCACACAACTTCTTACATCAATTTCTTGATCACGAAGTGTGGTCACGGGAGCTGATAGATCATCTCTGGAGCAACGCTTTGTCCCTCATAGGTGGATTTGACATAAAGAACTTAAATGTGGTATGTATGCATTCTGGCTTCCATTCGTGAGATTTTCCCCAAACACCTTTGGTTGTGTTATCATCATCACTTAGAAATGGTAATTCACAAGTACTAAGAGTCACCTCACAATTGTGCCCAGAACATTGTGGTAGATCCCAGAGAAATCACAAGCCACTCTTCATTCCAATTTCATACTCTGCTCCCATTCAAAAGTATGACTGGCTTGTGACCACCTAAGGGAATGGCATAGTTTTCCCTTTCTGTGACAGAAGAGAATGAACCTTATTGGGAAGGCTCTTCTGAGGAACAGTGTATAGTTATCAAATAAATGTTGTAAATGCTTTTAATCTTGCTAGCCATTCCCATCAATTCTGTAAAACACATTTTAGAGAAGGCAGGTAACAGCTTGTCCATACCTTGATCAACATGTTTAACCCCCAAGTTGGACTTTAAGACTTATATGAGAAAGTTCAATATCCTAAGGCCCTTAAACATATGGATTCATGTCAGCCTAATTTAAGTCCTATCTTTAGCACTGATTTAAACTCTTGTATTGATTTCCTCACACATAAAATATGCTACTGTAAAGTTTGAATCAGCAAAGATATTTAATAGAAATAGATCACGAAATTAAGCATATGACACATAATTATAGTGTATCTATATCTATATATATCTCTCTATATATAGATATATATAGATATCACTATTATATGGAGACATACCTCTGTTGATTTGGAGGTATTTTATTTTATTTCTGTGGCACTAAGGGTGGAACCTAGGAATTTTAGGACCATGCTTTACCACTGAAATATATTTTCACTATTTTTTTAAATAATTTTTTTATTGTGAGACAAGGTCTTGTTAAATTGCCTAGTCACTTACTCGATAGCCAAGGCAGGGCTTTAACCAGAGATCCTCCTGACTCAGCTACCAAGAATCTGGGATTACAAAGCTTTACTTCTTATCCTGATTCTCATTTATAATTTTAAACCCCTAATAAAATGAATTTTATGGTTAAAAATAAAATAGTAATATAGTAATAATAGTATAGTAATTTCTGTACTCATTGGGAACATAACAGTGAAACCACAGCACCTGTCTTCATGGAGACCAAGCAGGTTCAGTTGTTTTTATCAGTGCTGATAATCCACTTTTAGCTAGATAAATACATCTACATTATTTAAAATATGTTTCCTTTAGGTTTCACTTCCTCCTCCTCCTCCTCCTCCTCCTCCTCCTCCTCCTCCTCCTCCTCCTCCTTCTTCTTCTTCTTCTTCTTCTTCTGAGGGTGTTTGTCATTATGTATGAGGAATGTAACACAACAGCCTGTCCTCATTACACCAAGATATGGATTGATTCTTGTGTTACATCAACAAGAGTCTTCAGTGAAAAAATAATAGTAAAATAGATATGCAGAAAACAAAAATTAGAGCTTTTGTCTTCTGAAAGTTCCTTGTATAGTGGGAGATCTTAGCCTCTTTGATATCAGTTAGTGCACTTGACTTTGTCCACAGTCTAAGATCTACTAATGACCTGACCCGTGCAAACTGCGAATGGAACTTCAGAATGCTGAAGGGTCTGAGCAAGGTGACTTAGAGACCGGAGAGAATACTATAGCTAAATATACACAATGATTATCATAGTACATATATAAGTACAATTACTAAATACATATTAAAATCATGCAGGAATCTGCGTATAGTATTTAATCTCTTGCACTCTGATACTAAGTAGAATAGTTGAGAATTTAGGTTCAAAAACAAAGGAAAAATTTCTGGCCTTAGACTGATTGTCACTATGCGTGTGAACCGGGTAATTTTCTAAATTTCTTTGAGTCTCAAACTCTACTTTGGAAAACTCTGATGCTCATTAGTCATCCACGTTGCTGGTGGCAGTTAAAACACGCAGTTCCTTTTGTAGATTCGTTGGTGTTATTCATCTTCCGCTAAAGGGTACCCTACAACACTGGGTTGAAATCTGAAAACTTAGCTGCCAATTGTTTTTCAGAAGCCAAATGTGTCTAAGCCTTTGTGTATGTCTATGTGTTTGTGTTTGATTTCTAGAGTCGTTTTGATGTGTATCTCGCACATAATCCATCAGGAACGTCGGTTCAAAACATGCTCCATTGGATCCAGGTATCATTTTTCCAATGTTCTTAACGTTCATTTTGTGGGATTGAACCTAAATCACCTAAAGGTACTTAACTGGATGCACGTTATTAAGATGTTCTCATAAGGCAATTCTTCCACATATGACAACCTACAAAAAATAACTATTAACCCCGTGCATGAAAATCTTACGGAAACATGCTTTAAGAAATAAGGAAATAATTATTTTTATGATTTTTCCACGCAAAGCAAAATATTTAAAAGAAAGCTTCATTTGTACTCGCATATGTCCTATGCTAAATGTCACATATCTTAGACAGCTAGTGATTATTTCCAATGAGAAAATATTTTCTCAATAATTATAAAACTTGAAAAGATTGAATATTATCCGTGTGGTTATGAGAATTTTTAGCTAATTAATTTTAATTACTTAGTAATTTTTTTACATTTAAATTCTCATTAGGTTGCTAGATCTGCTAAATTTCAAGCCTATAACTGGGGAAGCCCAGCAATGAACATGTTACACCACAATCAGGTAAGTTTCTTGAGACTGAAAATCCTCACCACTTAGAAGACAAAGAATAAAAGTTGGGAAAGAAAAGTATGATAATTGGGTCCCTATTTTTGAAAGCAATGCTGATGTCTGCTTTCTCATTATCCCACTACTGTGCTCTGGAAATATACCTTCAGAGTAACACTGCATCCCCTGTGAGGACTTTCCAGAAATTAACAGCATGGCATCTTTCCACGGCGCTGCTGTATGATCCAGCCAGCCGAGAACACACTGGTTTCTCTCTAGAGTGCAACCGGCTGAAACAGGGCAATGAGTATGTCCATGCATGAGACTAACTGGTGTTCTCATATATCACCCTCTTCTTTTGGACAGCCAAATGCATGTTTTCATGGAAACACATTTACATGTGGTAGAAAGAGGTGGTGTGTTTTCAGATCAAAGGTAGAAATATTTTTGAGCCTGAAGGTGCCTTGTAATCCTCTCATTTGCTATGGTACAAAGAACTCGGGCCCTGGAGTTGACCCAATGGGTGGTCAATACAAACTGACAGAAGAATTCACAGACTAGGACATTACTGACAGGATGTGGAAGGACAGTATCTGTAACCATGTGCTCAGAGCAAACTCTTGGGTTATCATTAATTAATTTTGAGGCAGCAGGCACCCTCCAGTAGTTTGTGACCCACTCTTTCTGTTTAAACACTCCAATTTTATTTCAAATAGTAACTGAATAATCCTGATTTTCATTATTTCCCCTGACTCAAATCTTAAAAGGATATAGAGAAAAGCCCCAAACCATTGGTTTTACTTATTTGCTGTCTTTATGATTTTTTTTTAATACTGTAAGATCAACTCACAAAGTCCAGACTTGCTTCAAATTTGCTTTTTCTATTGGGCTCTCATTCTGGTAACCAAGGAAATCAATCGTAGAAACCCTGAGTACCAATCATAAGTCCACCCTTCTTCCAGTCGAGTCAATAACACTTCTGCATTGAAATCAGTGATGCTAATTTAGTAGGCAGAGATAACATTAAGGAAGTTGTTTCCTCAATGATGTGTAAGTAAAACAAAGTGTATTTATTATAGACAGTCTCCATACTTTAACTGATATATGAAGGAATGTGAGAAAAAGAATGTTACTGGAACAATAATGCAATGAATATTTTGCACATGTAAGTTGGCTCTTTCACAAAGTGTTAAGACACAGACTTAAAGGATATTAAATTAGTATACTTGAAATAACTATCTGAAGAACAAAAGCATCTAAATAAATTCTGTCTAGATTATGGGGATTAAGGAGATGATGCTCCTGTTTTATTTTTCTGTTTTAGGAATCTCTATAAACTCTATGTGTTAATGGTGTCTTCTGAAAATAAAAAAAACAGGCGAATGACACCTTTTGTCAGAAGTTGTAGTAATATATGGCTAAATTAATGAGTGTGCAACAGATCCAGCTTCTTACCTAATGCCCTGTCCTGGTCACTAACCACACCATGGACAATTGTTTTGTGAAATCCAGAAGATGGTTTATAGCCTTGTCTTCACCTTTGTGCAAATGAGCTTATTAACAACATTGCAAGCAAGCAAACGTAAAAGAAAAAAAAATAGCACAATCCAGATAGACAGACTCAGCTGAGGGATAGCCAAACCTCAAATGAGGTACACAAAGCATACAGCAGATATGCTTGAGGCAGCCTGATTGAGAGACCAAACAAAAGATAACATCACTTTGGAGGCTTAGAATCATCTAGCAGAAATTGATTGAAGACAACCTGTTGAGGTAGGCAGCTAGAGCTCTGTGTCAAGAGTTTTGCCTTTGGATCCCTTTCCCCTAGCTGAGCTGCCTTACCTGACCTCAGTGGGAGAGGATGCTCCTAATCCTGTGACTTGATGTGCCAGGGTGGATTGGTACCCATGGCGGCCTTCTCTTCTCTGAGGATAAAGGGGTGGGGAGATGGGAGAGGGGTTACAAGGGAGAGAAGGAGCGGAGGGAGGGTGGCTGAGATCAGGATATAAAGTGAATTAATGAGAAAAAAAATACTAGCTCATTAAAAACAAAAACCAATGGATATCATTTTTAAAACTTGGAAGAAGAAAAACCAGGAGTACTTGGTCAAGTAAAATGCCCCTTCAGATGAGGCTCTGAAGTGAAAGAATAAGAGGTGTGCAGTAGAGAGACAACATTATCAAATCTGGCACCTACAACATCCAACAGAAACATCTGGGAAAGCTCTACTGCAAGAGTCATGCTGAGCTTCCTGAGAGCTTTCCAAGCAGAAGAGCTTCTCAGTGAGGTGAAACAGCACATGAAAATTTACTAATACCAATACCAAAGGAAGTGACGCAGGACCCAGGACTAACTGAGGATATCATAATTCTGAGTGATAGAGACAATCTGCCACAGTCAGGATCTAGTTAAGTCCTAGCTGAGGAGATAGATCAATGGGAAGAGTGTTTGCTATGTAAGCCTTGTCTACCATAACTTCAGTGAGCCCATTTTAGAAGATGCGAGGCAGGAGAATTACTGGAAGCTTGGTGGCAGCTGCCCTGACATATCTACCAGTGAACGGGAGAGGCCCTGTTTGACAGACAGCAATAACCAAGCCAAAGGCTGTACTCTGACTTCCACAAGTACACAGCGATTGTATGTGCCTACTGCCCCCACACAAGAATCCCTTCCTTCAGCTGAACTGAAATACAGGGTTTTAATTGGTATGAACTATCATCTAAAGCCCAATCTTCTAGATCACAGTTCAGAACCACCAACATTGACATCACCTCTGTGTGTGAGATCTCTGACTTTCCTCCCAGACCTGCTGTGTCAGTTTTCCGTTTAACAAGACTGGTAGGTGGTTGACGGGCCTATTAGCGGTTGAGAAGCATTAATCCAAACTACGTTGTGTTCACTTTGCCCTGTGTGTAACGGTGACTTTCTGGAAGTAATCATTACAGTTAACTTAAAACAGTGGACACTGGTTCTAAGGTGCGCTTGCCTAAACTCCACTTCTTCCATATGTCATGTTGTAGAGAACGCCTCCCGAGTATGATGTGTCAGCCATGACTGTGCCAATCGCAGTGTGGAATGGTGGCAAGGACAACCTGGCTGATCCCAAAGACGTTGATATGCTGCTTCCCAAACTCTCCAACCTCGTTTACCATAAGGAGATTCCTTACTACAATCACTTCGACTTTATCTGGGGAATGGATGCTCCTCAAGAGATTTATGATGAGATGCTTTCCATGTTAGCAAAAGACTAAAAAAAAAAAAAAGAAAAATCTACATGCATTCTAAAATCCTCTCTCCTCTTATACAGTTTCTCAGTGTTTCAAATGAAATATACATTACTTTAGCTTTGACTTTATAAATATATTTGCATCAACAAAGCTCTTATTTGTCCTTTTGATGTTTTTTTATTTAAAGAAATACAATATTTCTGGCTTATATTAGAAACGTTTGATATTAGAATATGTTTCTGGGTAAGGGTGAAATTTCCTTTTGGTTCATCTCAAAAGTTTTTCTAAACTCAATTTAGATTAGGAGCCATGGGTCATTGAGAGTCCTGGAACTGAATGATGACATTTCTTGTGTGTGTGTGACAGTCTTTAAATTGCTTCTGCTCACCATTCATGATCAGTGCTGCATCCACATGCTGAAAACATCACTTACTCTTTCTTGTGAGCCCCACAAGAAATCCAACTGTCCTGAGCAAGGGTGAAGGAGCAACAGGCCATCCCAGTGTAAATTCAGGAGGCCAGGAGATGCCTGCTGTGCTCTGCCTTCAATTTCTCATCCAGACTCCAACTACCAAGCTGTCACCACCTAACAAAATTATTTTAAACATCAGTATCAATGTCCTGGTAACTACAAGATGTAGAAATATTCCCACTGGCGTATGAACCAAAATGTACAACTGCCACAAGTTGGTGAAAAAATTTTAAAGGTCCCAAATTTGGAAAATATCCAAAATACACACTAACATGGGAGTTTTATTAACAACACTCCAAATTTTGATGTGATTTCATATTCTAAGTAGCTAATCATTTTGATTTCTCTTTTTTGCTTATAGTGGTGTTAAATGTATGAAATATAAGGTAGGCAAGGCTTATTAGTTGCCAGCATAATCAGTAAAAGACAGAAAGCCTTCACCGAAATGTTAATTTTCATGGTGTTGTCCTGTCCGACATATTTTGCTAAGATCCTTGAGGCTTTCTTGTGTACAATACATTTTCCCCTTACTTATTTCTTCATTTATTGATTGATTGATTGATTGATTATTTATTTATTTTACGATGGAAAACATTTTCCAGAGAAAATCACTTAGTAGTCTTTAAATTTTCCATGAAAGTTGTAGGGCCACTTCCAAAGTGGCCAGAGGCCCTCAGTGACAGATATTAAGACCATACCATGTCATCTATACCTGCTTGAGAAAAGTGCAACCATCACAGACCTGACAGAGGCATTTTCCCCTCTCACTGCCTTTTAGATACAGGCAGTTTGTATCCTGTTCTCTGAACACAGGTCAATGCCACTGTAGCTGCTTCCACAGCAGCCCAGCTTCGCTTCACTCTCCTGTCAGTTACTCTAAACTGTGGACACATCTGCCAGCGTTGGGAGGGTTATTCACCTGGGATTCCTTTACCTGTCCCCTGGATAACGTTTAGTCATGTTTAAAGCCCACCAATGCCAAGCCCACATGCATCATTCTCAATTTGCTGAGTCAACAAAAGACAAACAAATAAAGTGGCTCTAATTAGAAACGCAGCTCAAAGCCACCTTTGTACTCCCCTCCCCCCCTTAGGTATATAAAAAATTTAAATCTATTCAGTATTAGTATATTTTGATGATAAATATTTGATGGTAAATATGATAGCAAATGTTCTTTGCTATTTTCACTCTCTCGGTCAATCCTGTCCGACCTGTGACCCCAGCCACTTCCCCACTCCCTGGGGATGGATTTGAAATGATACCATCTCTTTTTCACAAAATGATACCATTATCATGTCAACACCTTAAAGTTACATAGCCAGTCAGAGCTCAAATGTCCAACCATCTCATAACTATTGAGCTGTTTGAAGTAGAATCTAAGAAAGACCTACCCATGTTCATTTATTTTTATTTAATAGTGTGGCTGCCCTGGGCATTGTTAACATTCCTGGGCTCGGCCTACTAGATGACAGTAGTACATACCTCAAGTCTCGATAACAAGTATGTCTCCAGACATTGCTACATGTGTCCTGAGCTGCAAACGGCCCACCCTCCAAGTTAAAAACCACCTATGCAAGCTTCAACCTGATCGTGCTCTATATCTAATTACTTCACAACAAGACTTCTTATTTTCGAATCTACCATGGTCTACACTTAGTTCCTTCATGTGTCAAGAGCTTTTATAGGTTAAATTTAATTTTCAGTGACTAAATGTTTTAAAACACATACAGGTCTTGAAATCTATGTCATTAAAGGAAAACATTTTGTGGTTATCTCAGAATCACTAAAGTCTGGCAGACTTTTGATTCTAAGAATCAAAATTTAACAATAAAAAAGTTAACTCCGTAAGTGGGTAGACATGGAAATGTAACTAATAAAACTGGGTCAAAAACAGTTACTTAAAATAGCAGTCTTCCTTCCCCAACTTTTTTCTTGTACAAAGGGGACCCACTTTTTTAGTTTTTCTAATTAAAATATAATTAGATTGTTTTCTTCCTTCCTATTTCTCCCTCCAAGCTTTCCTGTGTAACTCTCTGCTGCTCTCTCTCAAATTCATGGTCTTTTTTTACTAGTTGTTTTACACCCACTCTCTGTTTACCATCTACCTATCTATCTACACACACAAGTATACTATATTCTAACATATAATATATACAATGTATTATGTTAATATATTAATTATAATATATAATAATATAATAATTGTATGGTGTGTAATAATATATAACTAATTATATATGCTTTACATATTATATACACAATATATATTAGAATACAGTATACTTGTTTACATATATTTAGGAATACATGCTCGGTCTACATAACATTATTTGAATGTGTATGATTTGAAGGTTTTTTTTGAATAAGGAAACTATTTAAGACATTAAAAAAATGTCTCAGGAAAAACCTGTGGCCCCTGAGACCGACAGGGATCAGAGAGCAGCAGAGGTTGATAAGGGGGAGGGGCTCCCTTTTTTGGGAGAAAAGGGAGAGGGGAAGGGGAAGGGGAGGACTGGGAGGGAGGGGCACCCTTGGGTTGTAAAGTAAATTAAAAAAAAAAAACAATCAAAACAACATAAAAACCTGTGTGCATTTCACCACTAGAGGGCGAGGTGGCTTTAGCGATTGTGATTTTTCTCTGCTGGGTGCAGTTACTGTGATTTACCCTACATTTTAGTCTCTTGATTAAAACTTAAGGAACCCACTGGGTAGTTTACTGTTGTGTGTCATCGAAGAAAGCCGAAGCTGGGAGGCAGACAGACCTGGTCCCTCAGCCTGACGCCTCCAGGGGGGAACTCGGGTCTCTGCTTCTCCCATACATTCTGCTGGTATACCTCTCAGCTTGGACATTGGCTGGAGCAGGTGTCGTTGGAGTGGGAAGGAACCTGCCTGGACCCACAGACCACAGAGGTCATTGCAGACAACAAGGGATTCAGTACACAAAGGAAGCAACTGAGGTAAGGGCAGGCCTGATGTTAAAGCATAGCCCTGGCCAGGGCTTTACCTGCTTTACCAGCACCAACCTACACAGAGGAGGAAGAGAAACCATAATTTACTCCATGTTCGACCCGACACCAACAGAACGAATTAATTTCAATACCGAATAAACTGAAAAGAGGCTTAACAAACAAACATATACATATATGTTGGCATATGCATATATAAATACGTATGTATTTTTTTAGTGTGTTTTATGTGTTTCTACATTTTGTTTGTGAGAATTGAACACTGAACCTAGGTCCTGGCATAGACTGTGTGAGCCCTCTACTACTGAGCTTTTTTCTCAACTTTGTATTTTTTGTTTAAAGACAGGGTATAAAAATTTTGCTCAGGCTAGTCTTAAACTCATAACATAGTCCAGGCAAGACTTGTATTTATGGTTATTCTTGCCTCATTCCCTCAAGTAACTGCGGCTATAAGCCTGTGTATAACATAGGTATATGTACAGGCCCAGATTTGTTTTATTTTATTTTTGTGTTTTTAATTTTAATTTCTCTTTCTTTTCATAAATAGTTTTCATGAATAATTTTATTTTGTAATCAAATTTTGGTCTTTTTCTCTTCTTCACATTATTTTCTTTTATCTTTGCTGTACTTTGACCTTGATTCTCTCTCTTACCTCCTTTCCACTATCCTCCATGCTTTTATTCTTGTGTTTCTATCATCCTTACCTTCACTCATTTTTAATTTTGCAGTTGATTCTGTATTATATTGCCCCTCTCTTTTCACTGGTTATTGGTGCTTTCTCTGCTGCTCATAGTTGATTTTTTTATTGAATTTCTGTACCTGGTTTGTTTTTGTGTTGTGGTATGGTGATCTGCTGTCTCTGAGTAGCACAGCAACTGAGACCTAAAGAGAAAACTGCTCATCCTGAAGACTCTGATATGAAAAAGACAGACATCTTAAAAGATGTACAGATTACGTCAAAGAAACATATAGACAAGCCAGCCAACATGACTTTTACAAAAGACCATGACTTTTCACTAACTAAATCCAAAGATCCTGAAGTTGTTGATTTGCTGAGTAATTCAGTCTAGTCTTTTTTATAATTTTAATATTTTTCTTCACAATTTATTCATTAGATATCCGAATGAAGCCCCCTCCCTCAACTCTCCCAGTTCCATCTTCCCTCCCTCTTTCCCCCTATTCCTGTCCCTTAGTCCACTGAAAGGGGGAGTTCTCCACCACTGCCATCTGCCTATAGCTTGTTAAGTCTCATGAGGACTGCCTGGATCCTTTTCCTCTGTGGCCTGGTAAAGCCACATCACCAGGGGCAAATGACAATTCAGTCTTTATTGGCTATGGAGGGTTTTATTGCTGTTGTTGCTGCTGATGGTATGACAAAGTATTTGACAAAGCAACTCAGGGAATGAACTATTTATTCTGGCTCCTGGCTTGTGGCTTCCGGCCATTGTTTTAGAACAGGAATGGTGGCAGCAGAGAAATACAGCTGGCCACCATCCAGATCCACCATCAGTCAAGAAGCAAAGGGAGAAGAATGACCGTCTTCCTTATTCTGTGGCTTGAACATCTCTGTGGAAACACATATGCAT